TAATCCGTGCGCACGGTTTGTCAATCCGTGTGCACGGTTTGGTAATCCGTGTGCACGGTTTGTTAATCCGTGTGCACGGTTTATTAATCCGTGCGCACGGTTTGTTAATCCGTGCGCACGGTTTGTTAATCCGTGTGCACGGTTTGTTAATCCGTGCGCACGGTTTGTCAATCCGTGTGCACGGTTTGGTAATCCGTGTGCACGGTTTATTAATCCGTGCGCACGGTTTGGTAATCCGTGCGCACGGTTTGTCAATCCGTGTGCACGGTTTGGTAATCCGTGTGCACGGTTTGTTAATCCGTGTGCACGGTTTATTAATCCGTGCGCACGGTTTAATAATCCGTGTGCACGGTTTGTTAATCCGTGCGCACGGTTTAGTAAATGTTTTACCATGTCCCTTCGGGGGCTCCGTAGATTTCAACCATGGGGATTGTTATCAAATTCATTTTTTTTATCCTGAAATACTTAGCAAGTACAGAGATTATTTTTTTACATATTACATCATGGCATGATAAAATAACATAATATTTTTGTTTTGATCGAACCTTGAGCTTCGTTCCCTGAACTTTTAAGTGTTCCATAGACCATGCAATTTAATTTTAAGACAAGAACATTTCTATAGTGTTGGGATTGTCACAATTACAGATGTAGTGAAATTCAGCTTCAACCTCAATTATAAAATGTACACATTTTATTTTTCCGCGATATATCTAATCACCTTCCAGTTTCAAATGGCAAACTAAAATTACCTGTTCTAATTAATTATTACTCTCCACACAAGAACACTAGTTCGATCCTGCTGCACGTGTTTGAATCCTGGACCTGTGGGTTTTAAGGCAGGGAGCTTGACCACTGTTTCGCTGGTTCAGCAAGCACTCTAAAAGGGGCTATACTCACCATAATTTCACCCCCCTGATAAGTGTTTTTTTCAAAGAACACAATTAGAAATCGAAATTCATGTAAGTAATTTGAATATATTGAACTTGTACAATAGTTATTTAAACGTTCCATAGCGAGATTAAAGTCGTCAATAATAAGGCATTACTTAGCTGTGTGTATGGATTAAAATAGCTCGCCGGTCTTAAAACATGTCAATCTCTTTAGCGACGCAAAGACAACTAAACGCTATGAAACAGCATATTATCTCAAGTTAATTTATATGCCTAGGTAATGCGGAGCTTAAATTCTCTTTTACTAGATTTGGAGATGCATACCAGCCTGAAATCAAGATAGATCTCGCCATGCGAAACAACTAAAACCATAGACAAATTCCATTGTAATATATTTTAGCAGATTACGAGTAAAAAAATAAAGGGTAAGTTACCTAAATTGACAAATTAACTTGAGAAGGTACCATTTCATAACATTCTATGATGTTAAGAATGCGCTAGACATGTTATAAACATTGAAACTGAAAAGTGTGATAATGATTTTTCATGTCTAGCCTTTTAAAAACAACGTTAAATAGGTATTCATTACGGTGCCGTTGGTTTAACATTTGATACCGCTAAAAATAATTGTGCACTGCCATAGCCACAATCATCTTATTGTGGGACAGCCATGCCTCTCCACGGCTTATAAAAGGGAAAGTAAGCTCCGCATGACTAGGGTATATAAATGAAATTTAGATATGTCATTGCGTAGCATTTACCGACGAACTTTTTTACGAATACTTCAGCCTTAATGCCTTTCTATTGACTACGTTAACCTGGATATGACACATTTTAATAACTAATGTACAAGTTACATATATGAGTTCTGATTTTAAATAACGGTATTTGAATATGACTTATCAGGGGGTTGGAAGTTACGAGCGACTATAGTTTCTTTCTGGGAGTTTGTAGTGGTCTTTATATGGGAAACATTTGGAAATGACATAAATGTAACAAGAAAACTGTTCAATGAATGTATATAGTAGAAAAGAGTCCGGGCGGCAATGAATTGACCTTTGACCCATTGCTGTGGCATTGACCTTAAGAGTACATTTCTGTTTTATCAAACAATATTCTGCAGTTCTGTAGTTACGGATTGGACAAGCATTGTATTAACTTGACCTCTTACAATGACCTTGACCTCAAGGATACCATATGTGTGACACAGCCTTTGCATAGTTCAAATATCTTCGTCAGTTTCGTCAATAATTATTACTGATAAAGTAGTAACAGCCCAAACAGGATCGTAGTGACATGACATTTGACCTCTGACCTAGAAATTTAAAGGATTGACATTTGACCTCTAGCTATAACCTAGACATTAAAAGTAGCAGGTCTGTGTGTGGTCCACAACACCACCATCTACTTATAGTACACACAGAAGATCCTTCAAATAATGATGGTGCCAAAATAATGCACCACATAAAATCTTGGGACATTGACTGAGAAGATTATGTATATGAGATTTGAACAGATTATTATTTTTGGCTATGAAGATTAGATTTTTTTTATCACAAGTTTCTATGAAAATGATGAAAACAACAACAACATAACAACAATATATGTCACCTCCAACACCAACACCACTACCAACACCAACACCAACAACAACAACAACAGACTTTCAATGTTGAATTCTTTATTCAGTATAAATATATCACAGCTTATTGTATTTGCAACAAATGCATAAAAGTGAACAAAAATATAATACACAACAGTATTTTTATACACGTAACAGACTCCCAGTAAATAAAGTAATACAACCAAGGGGACGGAATTCGTACGGGAATGTATTGAACAGTTCTATACTGTACATTTATATATCACGACATGATTTAAATATTTATAACTACAGTATGAGGAGAGTTCGGAAAATGATTGTAACAATATACAAGGATTGGACCTATAGTATATTATTGCATGTAAAATTAAAGTATTCTCGTAAAATGGATTTCTATTTAATTTAAATTAAGAATCTAAACTACTACCTGCACTTAGAATATCTCTTACTGAGGAAAATATCAAGATTGACATTATATTCTATCAATGACCGGTTTTTTTTCATCTTACTGGACGGAACATGTTATTTTTTTTTAACTTTTGATACATAAATGTATGGGCCTCAGTTTATGGATAAGCATTACTGGCAATAAATACAGAACAAAAATCTGAAGAAAAAGTATATTGTTGAATAATATATCTTCATAGGTAGCAACGACACACAGGGCTGCAACAATGCAGTTTTAAATATATTTTTCCCAAGAAAATCTGCTTTTTAATGCAAAATCTTTTGGTTATATTCACATATGTAAAAGATTGTATTTAAAAAATATTTTCAAGAATATTCCTATTTTACTTGTTTCTTAACTGTTACTTAGTCATTATTAGAGTAAACACATCTCATAACAAATCATTGCAATGCTATCTAAAGTTAGTTTGTGCAGCTTACACATTAACACAGCAGCAAATACAGTTATCTCCCCTTGACCTTGTCTGTCAAATTGAGTTATCTACCCTTGACTGACAGAGAGTGCCATCCAAGAAGAATGTACTAATGATTATTTTGTACAAATGGGACTAAAAGTGACAACAGATCACACTCACAATACCGTGAGCTGTTGCATGCGCATTTGTTGTGTAAATACACAAATAATTGTGACTCATTGATTTCTACGGTAATAACTCTTCGGACTATGTCAACACACATGTTTGTGGAACAGATAAAAGTGTTTCACGCATAGTGAAGTGGCCATTGATAATAAAATTAATTGATTTTTTTCTCCGATAACAAAAAGATGTGGAATGTGATCAATAAAAACACAGAGGAAGAATATATGACATGCATGCTTTTAACGAAAAATATTAAGAACCTTTTACAGGTCGATATTGTAAAGCTTACGATTTAAAAAAAACACAGCACTTATTATCACTGTGATTCGAGGATGTTTTACGAATGTTTATTTCAGGTTCGGTATTACCACTCGTATATTATGATGTCACACCAAACAAAGTTAAATTGATTTCATATAACACCATCCAATGGTAAATGTCTCAACACCATGTATCACCATTTATCAATCTCACACCATCGACTGTTATCGTAGGGATGGTATCTAAGCAGATTTAACATCCATACTTTGAATAAAAGTATTTTATTTCTTTCGGTTCTCTCCGACTGAATAGTCAATGTCATATAAATCCAAAAAAAGTTTGACCAGTCAATCCTTGACCGGTGTCCACTAAACCATGTCCAGTTGACACAGGAGTGTTAGATCATTTACATCTATACAGAGTACTTTCTGGTGACCTGCCACTGAGTGGACGAAACTGCATATAAACAAAATAATAATGATCAGCAAAATGCTCTAAGAGTCTAGTTGACACATAAGGGCCAGACCACGCTTGACCCAGTGTTCCTTCGTGTTGTCCGTGTTCAACAGTACCGAGAGGACAAAGTTTGTGGAGTGACCAGTGGTCGAAAGGACGCCACGACGGGCACTTGTCTTATAGACTGGACACTTGTAACGGTCACCCTCTAAAATATCATCCTTTTTCTTCGGCCTCAGCCACATGGTCGGTAAAGCCTCGTTTAGAATCTTCGGCAACTGTTCCACAATAACACTCCTACAAAAGACAATGACATATAGGGTAAATAAAAAAACAAAAACGATTTCTTCCGTAATTCAGGATCTATAGAAGATGAAATACATCCATTCATCAATAGAGAATAAATTATGTAGGGGGAGAGATAACTGACTTTTATTAATAAATGGGGGATGTAGGGAGGATAACTGATTTTTATTTATAAATGGAGGATGTAGGGGGGATAACTGACTTTTATTTATAAATGGAGAATGTAGGGGGGATAACTGACTTTTATTAATAAATGAGGGATGTAGGGGGATGACTGATTTCTATTAATAAATGGGTGATGTAGGGAGGACAACTGATTTTTATTAATAAATGAGGGATGTAGGGGGGATAACTGACTTTTATTAATAAATGAGGGATGTAGGGGGGATGACTGATTTCTAATAATAAATGGGTGATGTAGGGAGGATAACTGATTTTTATTAATAAATGAGGGATGTAGGGGGGATAACTGACTTTTATT